ACTGATTTATGTTAAGCTTGTGTCCATTAAAGCCTCCATTACTTTTTCCACAGCAACAGCTGTCTAACTAGGCTTCCCCTTTTATACTTAGGAAATTGATTTTCTGTACCCAAGTATAGGGCTTTACATTGATTTCTGTTAGATTTTGTGTCATTGGATTCAGCCCAATGGTCTAGCCTGTCAAGATCTTTTTAGATTCTGATTCTATCATCCAATATGTTAGTTATCTGCCCCCATCCTCCAAGCCCCAGCCCCATTTTGTGTCATCTGCAAATTTGATGACATCTCCTCTGTGCATTTATGCAGATCACTGATTAAAATCAGCCCAGGACAAGCCTGGAACCCTGAAGGATTCTACTAAGGCCAGCTAGGGAGCACAGTTGGTAGGGCCCTGAATCTGGGGTCAGGAGGACTTGCATTTGAATCCAGACTCAGACACTTACTATCTGTGTCAAGTCACTTCATCCCTGTTTGCCTCAGTTTACTCAACTGCAAAATGGAAATAATAATAGCACTTCCCTCTCAGTGCTGTTGTATAGGTTGAATGCGATAACATTTGTAGAGTACTTAGCACAGTGCCTGGCACATAGTAGGTGCTATATAACTGCTTATGGGTCAGTCAGATGGTTGAATGGACAAAGTACTGGGCCCGGAATCAAGAAGACCTGAGTTCAAATTCTACCTCAGACACTTACACTATTTGACCTAGTCACTTAATTCTGTTTGCCTTAATCCATGGAAGAAGGAAATGGCAAACCATTCTAGTATCTTTGCCAAGAAATTCCCATGGACAGTATTGGTGTGCTATGGCCCATGGGGTCATGAAGAGTTGGCTGTGATTGAACAATAACAAATGCTTATGTCCTCCCTCCCCTGGAAGTCTGCCTGGTACCATGTCGGTATTGAACCACTAACAGCTAATCTTTGGGTCCAGTCATCCAGTGATTTCTGGATCTAAGTAATTGCTGTTCCACATCTCTCCACCTTCTCCATGAGAATAATATGAGATTCTTTACTACAAGTTTTGCTAAAACTTAGGAAAATTTTGTCCACAGCATTTCCTCCCAAAGAATGAGTAATCCTGTCAAAAGAGACAATGAACTCAATGGGGCCAGTGGTGTTCTGGATGATACCAAGCTGGCTCTTTGTAATTACCACTTCCTTCTCCACATGTTGGCTAATCTTTTATCATCCTCTCTAGAATTTTCCCAGGAATGGAAGCCAAGCTCACCGACCTCTAATTGGAAGACTCTGATGTCATCACTTTCTTGAAAATGTGGATGCATTGTCCCCTTTCCCACCTTGTAGGCCATTGCCATCTTCCATGATCTTTCAGATATCACTGACGGTGACCTGGCAATCCTATTCACCACTTCTTTCAGCACCAGAAGATATTGTTCACCTGGGCTAGATGGCTCAGTGGACACAGCACTGGGTCTGGAGTTAGGAGACCTGAATTCAAATTTGACCTCAGACATTCCCTAGCTGTGTGACTCTGGGCAAATCACTGAACTTCTGTCTGCCTCATCTGTAGAATGTGAACAATAATAATACCAACATTCCAGAGCTGGTCTGAAGATCAAATGAGATCATATTTGTCAAGCACTTAGCACCGTGCTTTGCACATAGTAGGTGTTTCATAGATGCTCTTTTCCTTTCTTAGTATCTCTGTACTTATATTAAACACCAACTTCATGCTAGTCAGAATGGTTCTCTCATTTCTAGTGTGAACCTGAAATGCCTGATTGAAGAGTGTGTTTGCATTTTATCCTGCAGACCACGGGGAGCCACTGAAGAGTTTTGAGTTCAGAAGTGACGTGGTCGTGCCTTGGTCACAGAAAGATTATTTTGGCAGCTAGGTAAGGAATAGATTCAAGAAGAGAGAGCCTTCTTGGAAGAAGAGAGACCACTTAGGAGGCTACTCTGAGAAGTGATACGGACCTGAGAGATGGGTGTTAAAAAAGGGGAGTGATTCGAGAGATGCTGTGGAGTTGAAATCGACAGGACTTGGGGATGAATTGGATATGGGGACTGGAAGGGATGGAGGGAAGAAGACTCTGAGATTCTGAATCAGGTTGGCTGATTGTTCTCAGAAGAAGAAGGGAAGTTTGGAGGAAGGGCAAATTTAGGTGGAGAAGAGGAATTCTGTTTTGGAGGCACTGAATTGGATGCAGCCTGCTGCAATGGACTGCAGGGTACAGAACATCGATATGGATTTGAGCTCAACTCCCACATCAGATATTTACTAGCTCGATGAATCTGGGCAAGTCACTTCATACTAAAGAAAGTAGCTAGCATTTAGATAGCATTTTAATGTTTGCAAAGCACTTTATGTCATCTCATTTGGCCCTCCTAATAACTCTGTGAGGTAGGTACTATGATTATTGTCCCCATTTTGCAGATCAGGAATCTGAGGCTCAGAGAAATTAAGTCTAGGATTACACAGCTAGTTAATGTCAGGGGCAGTATTTGAACTCAGGTCTTCCTGACTCCAAGTCCAGCAATCCATCCACTGTCTCACCTAGCTGTATACTTAATCTCTCTGGACCTCAATTTCTCATGCATTAAAGGAAAGAGTGGATATAATGCTCCCTAAGGTCTCTTCAAGCCCTAAATGTGATTCTGTGCCAGAAGTCACTGAGAAGAAATATCCAAAGGGCAGTTGGAGATGTCAGATAAGAATTCAGGAGAGAATTTAGTATTGTTACAAGTATAGACTTGAATATCGACAGTAAAGAGAAGAGTATGAGACACATAATTGATTGGGATCACTGAGATAGAGTGGAGAGAAACAAGGCGAGAAGAAAAGGACCTTGGGGGGAAACCAGCACTTAGGGATTGGAAGATGATTGATGAGTCAGGAAAGGCCTGAGAAGGAGGGATCAGAAAGACAGAAGAACCAGGATAAGAACATTGTGGAAGCCAAATAGAGAGGGAAAGTCTTCATTGGGAGGGTCTGGATGCAGGGTCAGAAGGCCAAGAGAAACAAAGAAATGTGAGGACTAACACAAGACCATGACATGGTGTCCAGAGCTTGTAGCCTGTACATAGCATCTCACTCTTGACTTAGCCCTCAAATGACAAATTACATTTATTCCTGCATCCCTCTAGTCCATCTCCTGTCTCTGTTTTGGTCTGCCATAAGACAAGCAAGGGCAGCTTTAAGAATAAAGAGGAACCTTTCATCGGTGATGAAACACACCTCAGGAAACAGGGGACTGACTGTCATGGTGGTACTGGTTTTCTACCTCTGACTCCTCTCTATCTTACTCTTTCTGTTCTGGCCAGTGTCTATAAGCAGTGAGGTTGTGGCCCTTTCACCACTGTCCCTGGTCCTGGTCCAGATTGGCAACATTGCTCCCTCCTCTTTTTCTCTGGGCAGTGGTAAATGCTTATAGGCCCTCACCAGGCATGGGAGGAGGAGGTGGAGGCTGGTGAATGGCTTGTGTTCAGGAGTTCTGAGCTGCTAAGTCTGCCACAACACCCCCAGCTCCCAAGTTGCCTAACCAGCAGTAAATTGGCCAAGGTCAGAGACACAAAGCAGATTAACTGATTGGGACTGGGGTCCTGAATGAGTGGTTGCTATGCTTCTGGCCTGAGAGATATAGGGAGACCCAAACTCAATAAACAAACAAAAATTAATTTTAACTAAAAAAAAAAAGGTGTTTTCTAGCAGCTAAAGGAACATCACGTGCTTGGTGTTAATTGATAAACAGTTTACAGTCACACTGCTCTGTCATTTTCCTTTACATTCTTTCATTGGTCTTAAAAAGGCAAGTCCCATTTATAGATTCTCACATGTCACTGGCTTGGCAGTTATAGCTCTGAATAAAATGAAATTTTGTTGAGTAGGACATAGGGAGTGTGCAATATAGTAAGGACAGTACAGTGTTGGGACTACAGAATTAGTGTTTGAAAAATGCCCCTAGTGTAGTGGTTTGGCAGCTAGGTGGCACCATAATGTATAACGCACTGGGCCTCAAATAAGACCTCAGAAGCTTCCTAGCTGTGTGACCCTGAGCAAGTCACTTAACCCTGTTTGCCTCAGTTTCCTCATCTGTACCATGAGCTGGAGAAGGAAAAGACAAACCATTCCAGTAACTTTGCCAAGAAAACCTTGAATTGGAGTCACAAAGAATTGCACACAACTGAAAATGACCGAATGAAAAAAAGTTCAGTTTAGGGGTCATGTAAACTCTGAGAAAGTGAAAGTGAAAATCCTAAACTATAAAGAATAACTCAGATTGAATTCCATCAGCAAATATTTATTAAATGCCTGCTGTGTGATACATACTGAGGAGACAGAGAGAAAAATTAACACTCTGCCCTCCTATACACATACACACACATATACATGAGAGCACATGTGCTTACACACACACACACACAGTAAAACGTAAGCTTCTTGTAGTGAACTCTGGCTTCAAATTCAGTACCCTGTTTTATACGAAGTCCTGCAGGTGAGAAATAACAAGATGAGCCTGAGAAATTCCTTGATATCCACCACAACTCAGTGTTTTACACGCTGTGTGACCTTGACAAACTTTGGTTTCCTCATCTCTAAAACTGAAGCAACTATGATTTCATCAGCTACCCTACAGGATACTTGTAAGAATCAAATGAGCTAATGCATAAGAAAGCACGATGTAATAAAAAAACAAAAAGTGCCACATTGATATTTCTTCTTGTTGCCACAAAGTGAAAAGACCTCATTATTTCCCCTTCCTTATGCCAGTGGGCACTGTCCTCCCCTCCCAGCCCCAGACACTCTGGACAATTGGATAGATCACCCCCTACTCCTGTACCAAGTGGCCAGGCACTCCAGTTAACTCCCCCCATGCCTTCCTTATTCTTTTTGTTGAACATTGCTCCAAGGAATTAATGATTGAGCAGAATCATAAAAGTTCCAAACGATAACCTCTGACCAACATTTGAAGGGAACGAGCCCCCTATAAAACCAGACTCTCAGGGCCAGGCCAGGCACCTTCTCTCCCAGACAGTGTTTTGAGAGAACATCCCTTCACCATGAACTTCTCAGGAAAGTACCAGCTCCAGTCCCAAGAGAATTTTGAAGCCTTCTTGAAGGCTGCTGGTAAGTGCTTAGGAGAACAGCCTTTGGGCATCAAATGTTGGCATCAAAGGGACAGGGGCATTATACTTGTGGCTGCCAGAACGAATGAACTTAAAATACTTACAGAGAATCTGCAGCAAGTGAAATAATCCAACTAGTGAGGCTCTGGGCAGGCATTCAGGAGCCTGGGTTGGGTGTCAGGGTGAAGAAAACAGAATGAGGAGTCAGATCTGAATGTGAACCCTGGCTCTGCTCTTAATTCATTCCATAATATGGATTGCATCATCTCACTGCTCTCAACATTGGCTTCCTCATCTGGAAAATGGGGATAATAATAGTCCCTACCTCCCAGGGCTGTCACGAGACCCAAATGAGATCATTTGGCTCTTAGATGCCTTCTAGGTCTGAATCTCTATTGTATGAACCAGGTCTACCTGATGACGTCATACAGCAGAGAAAGGATCGCAGGGGAATGTCCGAAATTGTACAAAATGGAAATCACTTCAAGATCACCTTTAACAATGATAACCAAATCCAGGTGATGGAGTTCACTGTGGGGGAGGAGTGTGAGCTGAGCACTCCAACTGGGGAAAAGGTCAAGGTAAGAATATAACTTAATTAAATTTAGGGACATGGTATTCATTAAGGTGCCGCGTATTAGCCTCTGGGCTAAGCCCTGGAGGAGATGCAAAGATTAGCTAAAACTTGGTCCATAACCCCCTGGAGTAAGCTTGCAGCCTGCTAGGGAGATAAGACACAAAATATCTCTGTTAGCCAACGTGTTGCAAGATAGGTAGATTAGATGAAAAGCAGTCTGGTGGAATATGGTATAGAGGACCAGCCAGGAAGCAGTGCCTCCAGCCCATGCTGGCTGTGTTCAGTAGCTGACTTGTTCCTTCATAACCCAGCCCCCTCCTACATTTTCAGTCTTCTCACACCTTACTCCCTGATACATACTCTGCCATCCAGTGACCCTGGCTTCCCAGCTGTTCATGAAACGAGACCCTCCATCTCTCAGCTCCAGCATTCTCCCTGTCTATCCCCCATGTCTGGAATGCTCTCACTCCTCCGCTCAGACTGCTGACTCTGCTGGCTTCCTTAAAGTCCCCTGTAATCTCCCCCACTCTTCTACAAGAAACCTTCCCCAACAGCGCAGATTTTCACGATCTAGCCAATAACCACAGATGCTCAGATTCCTTAAAAGTAATATATGGCGAATCTTCAATCAACCTTGTCTTTGGCTGAAAAAAACAGACAACTTTCCCCAACCGCTTAGCTCTAGGGCCTTCCCTCTGTTAATTATTTCTCACTTATCCAGTCTATGACTTGTTTGTACCTGTTTGCTTATTGTTTCCCCGGTTAGATTGTAAGCTCCTTGAGGGCAGGGACTGTCTTCAGTACTTAGTACAATGTGATACATCTCAGACGGTTAATAAATATTTATTGACTGACTCACAGACAGCAAAAGGAAGAGAAGAGAAAAGGGGAGAGGAGGAAAAGTAAGGAAAAGGCTAAGAGAACTAGAAAACAATCCAGCCAGTGAAGTATAGAAACAAGAAGTTCTGCAGGGAATTTGGCTTGGCACTTACTCCAGGGGTGTGCTGGAGCCAGCTCAAACCGGCAGGAGATCGCCAGCCCATTGTTAAATTTTAAGAATTTACCCCTGAGAAAATAGCAAACCCTACAAAGCAAGGATTGATTTCTTGTTTTATTGATTGCCTACTTTAAAGTGATGGAGAAAGTGTTAACAATTCAAATTAAACTCAAATGTTATAATACAGATCCCTGCCTCATCCCCAGTCCCTAGGGCTTGCCAGATCTAACTCTTCTGTCTCCCTACAGACTGTAGTGAATCTAGAAGGAGGCAACAAGCTGGTGACAAGTTTCAAAGGAATGAAGTCTGTCACTGAACTGAATGGAGATACACTCACCAACGTGAGTGATCAGGTGTTTCTCTTCCTGCTTGGTTGTGGGGGATGGATCCAAAAAGCATTTGGAGAACACATACTAGGTGTCAAGTACTGGGGCTGCCAATAGAATAAGGGAGGCAGTGCCTGCTCTCAAAGAGGAGGGAAGAGATGATGAGGGAAAGACAGGTGAGGGGATGGAGGACAGTAGAGAGGAGGGAGGGAAGAGAAGATGAGGAAAAGACAGGTGAGGCGATGGAGGACAGTAGAGAAGAGGGAGGGAAGAGATGATGAGGAAAACAGGTGAGGGAGGAGGAGTAGAGAAGAGGGAGAAAAGAGGGGAGGAGGGAAAAACATGGAGGACAGCAGGGATGGAGGAGGGGAGAGGGGAGGAGTTATTGCCCAACACCCTGAGTAAAGCAACATGTAGCATTTATGGCAGACTCCCAGGGAGTTGGGTGGGTGACCCCTAAGGCTCCTTTCAGCTAAAAAGCCATGATCCTACCTTCCCTCCACCCCCAGTCACCTAATCCTCTACCCTATTCCTGCTAATCCCCCTTCGGGCATTAAACCCTTCTCTCCAGCTGGCATCTCTGTCATCCTTACACTGTGAACCTTGCTGGGAATATTTATATTTTTAATGGGGCCCTCGAAGACCCCAAAGACAGCCTTCCCCAGGGTTCCCTCAGGAAGCGTGGAGAATCCATACAAAAACCCAGAAAGATTGCCAAACCTATCTCTAGTATATCTAACATACAAGAGTCATTGATGGGTATCACATGCTGATATACTGCAAGACATTCCAGGAAAGATTAACACTGGATTTCTTCTTGGCTTTCAGACCTTTACCTTGGGTGATGTTGTCTGCAAGAGAATCAGTAAGAGAATTTAGACATGTCTGCTTTCCATTTATTTTTACTGTGTGAAATTGGTACAATAAAATGTGGCTTGTTAAAAAAATCTGTCTTTTGAATGACTTAGAAGCATATGTGTATTCAAGGTTTTAGTAATGCCTTTTATTCTTACATCACAACCATTTCTGAATTCACTGCACCTGCCCACCCACCCCCAATGAGCCTCACCTTACAACAAAGAAAAGCAGGCAAGCAAAACCAAACAACAAAGTGACTCCATTTGCTAGTATATACACCCTTCTGCACCATAGTTACCCACCTCTCCAAGGAATGGAGGGAGCCAGAAAAAGTGAATAGTTTGAAAGATTTTTGCAAATTATCATTCACCTAGAAAGAAATGGTGCTGACTTTGGCTTGATGGAATAAGTTATTACCTTGTAGGGTGATTTTAGGGGGGCTTGTGACTCATGTCCCCCCATTCCTCACCAACACCCCCACAAGCACCATTATTTCTATTTTCCCTAATTCTGTACTAAAATGCCTAGGTAAGAAACATACCTTTAGATCAAAGTATTTTGAGTCCAAAAGCTCTTGGTTACAATGTGTGTATGTGTGTGTGTAGGTGTGTGTGTATGTGTTTTAAATGAGAAGGGTATTTTTTAGACCAGCTATGTAGAATAGGACCTTGAAGACACCAGCTGAAGGACCCATTTTTCTAGTAAACAATGAGGAAGATTTGGGTTATGAAGCTCACATGTGAGAGCGGAAGCCTAATTGAGGAGCACAGCCTTAACTTCGGCAAGGCAAGAGGGCCTGGGTCCCAGGATTTAAAAGGACAACATGCAGTCAGCTCTGACAATCCTTTGGCTGCATGAGAACCACAGAGATGTAACCTGACTTACAGAATCACAGAATTTCAGGGGTGGAAGGAATTTCAGAGGCCATCTAGTCCAAATCATAGCTGAAGAAGAAGATTCCCTCTACATCACACCTGATAAATGATCATCCATAATTTGCATGAAGACCTCCAGTGAGAAAGAATCTGCTACCTTACAAAGCAACCATGTCTCTGTTTCAAGCAGCTGGTGATGTAATGCTTGGGGTACTTGGCCTGGAGTTAGGAAAACCTGAGTACAAATCTTGTCTCAGATACTTCTTAGCTGTGTGACCCTGGGCGAGTCACTTTGCCTCAGTTTCCTCATCTGTAAAGTGGGTTTGATAATAATAATAGCACCTGCCTCCCAGAATTTCCTCATCTGTAAAGTGGGTTTGATAATAATAATAGCACCTGCCTCCCAGAATTGCTGTAAGGATCACATCAGACCATATTTGTAAAGTTAGCAAGTGTCTGGCACTATATAAATGCTTATTCCTATCCTCTTTTGGATTGCTCTAACAGGCATTTTTTTCTTACATCAGAAAGAAACAAGAATAATCTGTGAAATTTGGAAGCTATGATATGGTTGGCTTGGGTAACCTCCTTCTCTCTTCTATCTTCCCCACCATCCTATGTGGCAGCTTCCTCAGAGTAACAACAACAACAATAATAACAACTGATATTTATATTATACTGTGAGGTTTGCAAAACTCTCTCAGGAGGTAGGTGCTATTACGATCCCCATTTCACAGATGAAGAAACTGAGACACTGAGAGGTTAAGTGAATTGACCAGGGTCATACAGTGTCTGAAGCTAGATTTGAACTCAGTCCTTCCTGACTCCAGGTTCTGCATTCTAAACACTGCACCACTTTGCTTGGGCGCCTCAGTGCCTCAGGTTTGTTGCATAGACAGAGTTTTGTACCTCTTATGCCAGACTGTTGGTTTCCATTCCAGTTCTTTCTTCCCTAATTGCCATTTCTTTTCCATTTTTTTCTAGTGTTCTCATTTCATGTATAAAAACATTTCAACTCTTAAGAACAACAATAGCAGCAACAATAACTCTGCTTCCTCTCTTCGGGGTATTCTAGTTGAATTTGTACCTAAGCAGTACTTTTCTTTGGGGCTTTGCTGGTAAATGTTTGAGTCATTCTCTTCTTCTAGGTTTGTGCCTTAAGTACCCTTGTCATCATAACAGCGGTTTTGGGTGGGGTTCCTTTTTTTGTTGTTTACTTATTTTTCCAGACTATTTTCTGATTTCAGACTCTAAGTCAGGCCCAGGCTCTGCAAAATTCTAAACAGAAGATCCGGGCTGGTTCTGTTGCTGCTTCCTTGGGGTATGGAGTGTTATATAATTCCAGACTCTCAGGGATGACTCAGGATGGGGACCTGCAAACTTTCAATGCCCCAAAGTAGAGCCCTCAGATTCCAAATCTAGAATTTCTACAGTCACTAACTTTCTCAGCCCTGAGGTTCTGAGAGCAGTTTGCCCATCCCTCTTCCCGTAATCAGGTTGGGACCATTGTCATTTTCTCAGGAATCTTCCTATGAGGAAGTCTACCTTTTTGTTTGCCTTGGCTGAACACAGAAAGCAGCAAAGTCTATTCACCTCAAAATGAGAGTGGTCATGGAAAATGGGTACAGACTCTTCTTTCAGAGCTCCAAAGTTAGGTGCCAAGTTAAAGAGACATTTCATTTAAGACAGTAAAGAGGGTTGGGGAAATTACCTGGTCAAGCACCAATAGACTTTTGGAGTGGGAAAATTAGGGACAAGGAAGGAAGGAAGAAGGGAAGAAAGAAAAAGAAAGTAAGAAAGAAAATAGATCTTCAAGAAGGATATTTTAAAAATTCAGTGCAGGATGTTGCATTGAAATTGATAGTTAAAGCAAGATTGATAAGGGTTTCTCATTCAGGTAAAACTTCAGCCTGAAAACTAAAGCATGATCCTAATATTATTATGTAATATGTAGAGGGCAGCTAGATGGTACAGGAGACAGAGTGCTACGCTTGCAATCTGGAACACCTCAGTTCAAATCTGGCCTCAGGCGCTAGTTATGTGACCCTGGGCAAGTCACTCAACCCTGTTTGTCTCAGTTTCCTCATCTATAAAATGAGCCGGAGAAGGACATGAGAAACCACTCGAGTATCTTTCTCAAGAAAATCCCAAATGGGGTCACAGAGAGTCAGACATGACTGAAAATGACTTCACAACAGCAACTTGTTAAGTTATTTGTAAAGCAAATTCTTGTCCAAGTATGGGTTAGACAAAGTGGCCTCAGAGAGCTTTTGCAACTTTAAGTTGGGTCATTCAGAGGACTAAGATGGGGGTAGATTTGAGAGTTGGGATTGGCGTGGAGCTTTGGATTGTGGCTGGCATTGAAGTTTGGGTTGAAAATCAGAGGCAAGATGTGAGTGATGATACTAGGGCTGGGGTTGATGTTGGCATAAAGGCTGGCCTTGATATTCACTATGAGAGTCAGGATTGGATTGGGGATGAAAAAGGAAAGCAGAAAAGGCAATCCACATCTGAAATTGAGCCACTGGGGAGAAGGATTATTTTTTAAATTTGAAAGTCACTTCAACTTTGCAAAGGAGATTACATCTATCTCTTCCAGTGTTTGCTCAATTAGTGGGAGGGTGTAATCATTACCCTTGGCTGGCTTCTACTTACAACCACATGCAGACATTTTTATGAATAGGTCCTAGGTTCTGCGGTCTCAAGTGAAAGGTTAGTGGAGAGAGAACCAAATTCAAAACCTCTCCATACCATATTGATCTGCCTGAAAGATCAGAGTTGACTTTAAGGTTTAAATCCTGTTTCTCCAGAGTAGCAAACCATTTCAAAGGAAATCAGAAGAGGAAAACTCATTCTCACACAGCAATAAATACTGGGGCTGAAATCAGGTCAATTCAGTTCAACAGATCTTTCATAAGCACCTCCTATGACGTGTGTAGAAAGCACTCTATCAGGCTCTCTTTGTATAATGAATGGCCTTGTCCCAAGAGGAAGGAAAATCTTAGGGTTACTTTTTGACCAAGACCAGCTTCTGCCTTTCCCCTAGTTTATTATCTATCAGGGGATAATGGCTAATACCCAGATAACTAGGGAACAGGGACTGAACTCATTAGAAGGTGAACTCCTTTTGGGCATTTTCTTTTTATCCCCCATTCTTAGCACGGTGACTGGTATAATATAACACATACTTGACTGACTGATTTCATTGATCTAGGGAACTCGCATAAAAGGAAACTTCCTCTAGAAATGTAGGTAGCCACCTGCTCTGAGATAGAGTTATCG